CATTCCTGCTGTGAGTGCCTGGATTTCTGAAAAGAAAAGTTTCACCTCGCAATGCTCGTACATTGTTTTAGTTTCTTGACAAATTCAGAAGACGTCCCTCTGCTTTTTCCCTTATCACGATGGTGATCTTGGCATGCAGAACTATCCTAACTATCATATTTGATTCTTGTCTTGGATAGTTTGGATGCATACTTACTAAAGACATTTTGAACCTGCAGGGTTGACCCTCAACACTCCTGGAGACTTGGCAATTAGCCTTGGCACAAGTGATACTGTAAGTTAAAAGATCCTAAAATTTTTGATGGTCTTTATATTATCATGGCTGTGTCCCTAATATGGGTATTGTATGGTCCATCTATGAGTTTGATGAGCCTATGCACCTCACAAATTCTAATCAAATTTTGTTACCCAATTTTCCTTGCACCATTCAAACGAAGAGCTTTTTTTGGAAGGTACCCACGAAGTGGTTTGACTGTTGCTTGGCCTCATTTTTCCTCAAATTGATTGTTAGGCAAGTGAAAAACAAGCTATGCTCATACCAGCCTTATTCAGGAGAATATAACTTATGTTGCTACTATTCCGTGTTATAAGTGCTGTTTACATTTCGTATCGCATTCCACGAATCCTGAATTTGGTGAGCATAGACCCAACTCTTCTCTCTCCTACTAAACAGTTTACAAATCACGAGAAAAGCATCAACATCTATTATCATCCCCCCCCCCCAAAAAAAAAAAGAAACAAACAATAGCAGAAAGGAAGAAGCTGTATACAGATGTTACAGTTATATCCCCACAAGTATCGGTTTTGCTCAGCTTAATCTATTTACGTAACTTGAACTATGATTCCTGGAAATTAACTCACTGTTATTGTTCAGGTGTTTGGGATAACCACTGACCATAAACCCAGCTTGGAAGGGCATGTTTTTCCAAACCCTGTCGATATAAAAGGCTACATGGTAATGTTGGTCTACAAGAATGGGTCTCTGACTCGCGAAGGTACATTGCCTATATATGAATTTTTTTGTTATGGATTTCGTCAGAGCAATATTTGAAAGTTCTTGCCATTGACATTGTAACCATAACGTTGATAGATGTTCGAAATTGTTTCGCGGATAAATCTTGGGATGTTTTGAATACATTTCTGCAGCAAACTCCACCTCTAAATGGTAAGCTTTTATATTCAATGATTTACATTTGTGTATTAGTTGTCCACTGTTTTATATTTTCTCATACTCTGTTACAGGTGGGAAGTGGGTTTTTACTACAAGGAGCATGAAATACTTCCTCCGCTCCCAGGTGAATCATTGGGTCTTAATTCCATAGCATTTTGGTAGTTGTCTACCGACGCTTATTATTTTTCATCCTCCCCTTTGTACGTACCACCGCTGTGAAAAACATATAGGGGTCTCACTTCCAATTTTAGTTTTGCACTTAAAAGAGAGAATGTATTAAAAAGGGTCTTCTTGATCCATGAAATACACCAATAGTGGATTTCGAGACTACCTGGATAGTACTTTCAGTTACTACTACCTCTGATGCAAAACACCTACTTACGGAACATCCATGGAACAGTGGGATTCCTTCGTTTGGTCAATTGGTACTTTCTGATATGTTCACCTTTGTTATGCACGTCCAGCTGGTTTCCACCGTTATATCCTTGAGAATTTCAAGGGAGACTGTTTAGACGATCTCAGTGAACGTGAAGTGGAAGAATTTGGTCCTCCTTCTGAGGTTAGTTGTCATGTTCAAAGAGTTCAAATGCATGAGCTTATGAGTTCCTGTGCGAAGATTATTTTGTTGAGAGTAAGAAATTTGCCTGCAGATTCGAGCATTGGTTGAGGGTCAATTACTTTCTATGCGAGCTCATGCTGAAAGATTTGGAATGCCTTCTCCTCCAAAGCGGATTATAGCTACTGGTGGAGCGTCAGCAAATCATTGCATTATAAGCTCAATTGCTTCCATCTTTGGGTGTAATGTGTATACAGTTCAAAGACCCGGTTAGTAGTCATGTCTTGTTATTACAATCAAAACATTTTATGCTTATAATTGAACACAGTCTGGTCTGTCTATCGCCATCTTGTCCCGATTCAAAATCTTAAATACCCATTAATATATGATGAGAGAGAACATCAATAAGGTCAATTATTAGTCTGCAATCTGTATTACCGATGTTGTAACTGAGAAAGCTATCAAAATACATTTTTCATCGACAATTTGTCTTGCTTTAAAATTCTTTGCTTGCAGACTCCCTTGGGGCGGCATTGCGGGCTGCTCACGGTTGGTTGTGCAACAAAAAGGGTAGTTTTGTGCCGATCTCACGTATGTACATGGACAAGCTGGATAAGACATCTCTTGGCTGCAAGCTTGCGGTGTATGCCGGAGACCAAGAACTTGTCGCCAAATATGCTTTGCTCATGAAGAAGAGAATGGAAATTGAGAACCGTCTTGTCCAAAAGCGGGGACGTTGGTAGAGTTTGGAATGCAAGTTATTAAGTTGAAAAAGTTTTTTGACGTTTCAATAGAGAGAGATCTGTAAATTATTATCACAGATTGGGACAGTTGTTCGAGTACATTGATTTGTTTCCAAATAATTCCTTACTAAGTTTAGTCACTTTTATTATGAATGTGCAAGGTCTTGAGTAAAAATATTTGCATGTCGTTTTGGGGAGAAATGTTTGCATGCCCTTAAGAACACCATTGTAACAGCAAAGCATCAATAACCAGCATATATTGTACTTAGAAATATGCAAACAAGTGCAAAACAAACAAATATAGAGCACACATGCTCATGGTGGCAGAGTACATGAAGGAAACAAAGATAAGGAAATGAGCACAACCTCAAATCAATACTCCTCTCCATCATCGCCATCTTCGCCCTCAGCAGACTCAGCACCAACCTCCTCGTAGTCTTTCTCCAGAGCAGCAAGGTCCTCACGAGCTTCACTGAATTCACCTTCCTCCATACCTTCACCTACATACCAGTGCACAAAGGCACGCTTAGCATACATGAGATCAAACTTGTGGTCAATGCGGGAGAACACCTCAGCAACACTGGTCGAGTTGGAAATCATGCACACAGCCCTTTGCACCTTTGCAAGGTCACCTCCAGGAACAACAGTTGGAGGCTGATAGTTGATACCACACTTGAATCCAGTTGGGCACCAGTCGACAAACTGGATAGTGCGTTTGGTTTTGATGGTGGCCACAGCTGCATTTACATCCTTTGGCACAACATCACCGCGGAACATCAAGCAGCAAGCCATGTACTTGCCATGGCGTGGGTCACACTTGGCCATCATGGATGAGGGTTCAAAAGCACTATTGGTGATCTCTGCCACAGAAAGTTGCTCATGATAGGCCTTCTCAGTTGAAATGACAGGAGCATATGAGGAAAGCATGAAATGGATCCTGGGATAGGGCACAAGGTTGGTCTGGAATTCAGTCACATCGACGTTCAAGGCTCCATCAAACCTCAAAGAAGCAGTAAGTGAAGAAATCACCTGCACCAAAGATGGCACAAATAGACATCATCAGTTATGGTTTTCAAAGCAAATTTAAAACACAAGGAAATTTCTGATATTAGTTTTTTTTATTCACCTGGGAGATAAGGCGGTTGAGATTGGTGTAAGTGGGGCGCTCAATGTCAAGGGAACGCCGGCAGATGTCATAAATGGCCTCATTGTCAAGAAGCACAGAAACATCAGTATGCTCAAGAAGGGAATGCGTTGAAAGTACACTGTTGTAGGGCTCCACAACAGATGTGGAGACCTGTGGTGAGGGGTAAATGGTGAAACCAAGCTTTGATTTCTTGCCATAGTCAACAGAAAGACGCTCCAACAAAAGTGATCCAAGCCCGGAACCAGTGCCACCACCAACAGCACTGAAAACCAGAAAACCTTGAAGACCAGTGCAGTTGTCTGCAAGCTTCCGGATGCGGTCCAAGCACAGATCAACAATTTCTTTTCCGACTATAATGGAACACCATTGCATATAACACATCAGCATTCAGCTCAATTGAATGAATCAAATAATTAGTGCGAGAGTAGAATGCTATTAACTGGTGTAGTGGCCACGGGCAAAGTTGTTGGCAGCATCTTCCTTGCCGCTAATGAGTTGCTCAGGGTGGAAGAGCTGGCGGTATGTTCCAGTTCTCACTTCATCAATTACAGTGGGCTCAAGGTCTACAAAAATAGCACGAGGGACGTGCTTGCCAGCTCCAGTTTCGCTAAAAAAGGTGTTGAATGCATCATCACCTCCACCAACTGTTTTGTCACTTGGCATCTGGCCATCAGGCTGAAACCAAAGGCCAAAAAACAGAAGCATTACACAAAAACTATTCTCACAGATTATGACTATATTCTGTTTCAAATTATTAGTACAACTCAAGTAAAACTAAATCAAGACCAAGAGAAGAACACAAAAAAAAAAAGGAGAGATCAGAATGAATAATCCTTATGACAAATTAAGCTGTAAAACTATACCACAATTTGACAAACAATAACGTCAAATTTTTATCATATTCAATACAAATTATACCAGTCCACATGAAAGCTTTAATTTCGCACTCAAAACAGATTCCACATATCATGTACAGAATATGGGAAGATAATTATATGAAAAAGGCCATAGACCAGGTATAAAATTAGATCCATAGGGTCCAGTATGAGACATTATATTTTATTCTTATATATCTCTACGGAATAAATCTAGACATCGACAATGAACATCAGTAAGTACCATGTATAATAACATTGCCAAAAGTTGTTCTTCTGAATACAAGGATGTAGAGCATGATGAAGGACGCTAATGGAAAAATCGCGAAATATATATGCATTTCTGAAAAATTAGTCGCTGAATCTCATTCATAATCTTCTTGAAACCCTAACTCTGCAACGAAGTTTCACAAATGCACAACTATATCAACAAAATTGACACATACCTGAGATGATAGCCTTAAAGAAAAACTAAATTCAAAGAAAAATATGCAAATTAAATAATGCACGCAGCTTCTTTGCGATTCCACAACGCAAAAGCATGACGAATATAGATCGAGAAACAAACAACATTTTTTTAGAAAATAAGCAACGAGATCCAGCTTTTTCAAACAACGTTCAAAGATGTACATACCAAATAAATTACCGGATAAGATGTATAATTACACCAGATCATCAACAATTAAAACCATACACGTAGTAGCTCCTATCTTCATTGGACAACAAGGAACCAAAAAATACATCGAAGAACAAGAGAGATAAAGAAAGACGAAAAGAGGTCTGACCTGAATGCCATGCTCAAGGCAGTAAAGTTCCCAGCACGCATTGCCGACCTGAATACCAGCCTGGCCGATGTGAACCGAAATGCACTCTCTCATTCTCACAAAATTGAATGAACTGAAATTCAATGACAAACAATCAAACAACCCTAGAGATCTTAAAAGAAAGCTAAAGAGAGATATGGACGGCGTTTATCAAGACGCCTTCCCAAGGATAAGTTTCAGATCTCTCCTTCCGACAAAATGTTTCGGATCGCTCTTTCTGTCTATCCTAGGGGGATTTTATAGGAAGAAGACGAATATTTAGGGTAAATTGACCATGGTTAACTAACCGTGGTTTAGGGTTGGTTGCAAAACTTGCCAGCGACGTGATACGATGACAATTATTTGGCCAGCCTGGCCGGCATGGTTACTTGCTGTATTCTAAATTTCTAACCGTTATTAATAATTGCGCGCTCGATTTTGATTTTTGAGTTTCTTGGGAGAATAGGTTTGATCCGAGAGAAAATTACATAAAATGCCATCAAGCTTAAAGGTTATATATTTCTTTGGCGAAGGGTAAAAAGTGCATTGCAGATGTGTGAAAGATATTTTTCGGGAGTGGGTTAGACGTAATTTTCCATTCAGCCCCACTGTAATTGTCTGCTAATGCGACACAGCATTGTGAAGTTACCGATTAGCCTAATCACCACCTCTAGAGAAAATTACACTTTACCCCCAAACTATTATCTTTATTTTATTTTATACTATCAATTATAAAAAAATTTACATTATACTCTAAAATATCAATGTTGTTACCCCCAAACAGCATTAAGCCAAGTGTCTAGAACCACTTTATTTACCTATTTTGTAACTAAACGGTTGCTAAGACGAAAAAGAAGGTCCGTCAAAGGAAAATTTAGAATTTAGGAATGACAAAATCATGGATGATATTTTTTTTTTATTTTTAACATGCACATGTGTAATACCAATGAACCTTTGGTCTAATGGTACTCCTTATTTTGTAAAAACTTAATTTTGTTGAAGTCAATGGTTCAAGTCCCCTCCCATTCCCCCTCTCCAAAAAAATAAAATAATAAATACATGTGTAATTTACTGTTAAAAAATTGACATTCATTATTATCTATTGAAATGATATGAAATAAAATTAATATTTTAAAGTATAATATGAAAATTTGTATAATTGATGGTATAAAAAAAATAAAAATAATAGTTCAAGAGGGTAAAATATAATTTACCCCCACCTTTACAGCCACTTTTGTTAAGTGAATTTGAAGTTATTTATCTTCCTTCTCTGTAATAGAATTTAATAAAAAAAAATACAGCAATTTTATACAGACGGTCCCTTACTCATTATCTGTTACAAGGAAAAAAAAAAAAAATCAAAGACAAAATATATTTAAGAGAATCATAATCCCTTTTTTTGACGACTTGCCCAAAAGAAAGAAATGTTTCCGACAAGCGTCAACTTAAAGATGTGCCGGCCCCATCCAATGGCCCTATAAGGTGGACCCACCTCTACTAATTCGATCTAATTTTGGAGCCACTATGGGCACCAAATTAGTTTGGGCTGGGTCAGGTAACAGTGTCAATTTTTTGTTTAACTAAACAATTGACTGGTGCAATAGATTGATTAGTGTAACTATTTTTAGAACACATGAATAATTATTTAATATATTATGATTAATTGGTGTCTCATAATTAGTGTAACTATCTGGTCAAACTGTCTTTAGAACATATAAATAAATTATTGGTACACCATAGGGCAATTGTAATTGGTTTAGGACATATAATTTCAATAACCGTTTAGTGTAACTTTTTCAAACCGCATGAATAACTATTTGTTATAATTGATTGGTCTAACAATTTTCAAAAAACATAAATAAATTATTGGTGTGTATTATAAAACAATTGTAACTGGTTGATGTCGTATATAATCAGTAACTGTTTAATATAATTGTTTTTAGATCATAATTCTTTTATCTTTAATGAGTAATTCCAAAATTAAAGGTATCTGAATACAAATTCTATATAGTTTGAATTTTTTTTTGTTTGATCTAAAAATGTTAAGTAACTATTTTGGGATTCAAAGGATTTCACTTTTATCTCTATTGTTAGTAACTGTTTTAGAGTTACGAACGTCGTTTGAATCGCACAAAGGTAAGAGTTTGTTTATTAAAAATATTTTTTAGTTCAATTTTTTTTTTT